GGAGGAGGAGGAGGAGGGGAAGTTCTGTTATGGCTGATGGAAAGAAATGGGGCAAGGGTCCTTCCCAAAGTAGCCAAAGTAGCCTTCCCAAAGTAGCTATACATATAATACCTGCAATCAACAGTCATCCAGGTGCTTTAGTTATTTAAGAACTGTTCATCTGAAGATTTGCCTGTTTTCTATGGGCCCATATCCTTTCAATTCGTCTCCAGGAAGGGGAAAGAAAAGAGTTTTTGGGAGTGATGCATTTTATTAGAAACAATGTGTTTCTAAAAAGTTTTATTTTCCAAACTGCATGAGTATAATAAAACTTCAAGGGAAAGATAACACACCTAGTACTCAGCGATGCTATGAAGGATTCACCAGTTCTAGGTAAGTATCAAACAGCTGTAATTATTTCTATTGCTTTCCAATCTCCCTGTTGTTTTTATCAAAACTTGTTTAAAAGTACAATAGCATACATCTGTGTGGTTGTGGGTGTGAATGTGGGTACTGTGTGTACATAAAGTCAGGGCTAAAAATTAGGCACAGATGGGTTTCAGTCACATTGTTCCAAGCATACACTCTTTGGGGTTTACTCATCATATTTTAACTTTCATTTAAATCTAGCTCTTATTATCGTGAATGCAACTGTAGATGCATCTGTGTTTCAGTTTAGAGGGTCAATTTGTACTTAGTATGTTGTAATCCTTTAATCTTATAATGAACTTATGAGAACATCTTTGGCCACCGGTGCTCTTTTCTTTTCCTTGATCACTGTTGTCTTGTTAAGAACATCTATAGTGCACCACAATACTCCCATTGTCAAATCCAATAACTGGGACCTCACCTACACTCTTTTTGCCTGTCTTCTTTTCTGCTTCCTCTTTACATTGCTTTTTATTGGGTAGCCTCAGAGGATGAAGCGTGTCCTGCAGCAATCAGTTTTTGGCATCATGTTTTCAGTGGTTGTTTCTTCTGCATTAGCCAAAACCATCACTGTGGTTCTGGCATTCAAGGCCACCCAACCAGGAACAAAGAGAAGTAGATGGATGGGGAAAGGGCTGGCCACTTCCATGATTATTTCTTATTCTCTTATCCAAGTAGGCATTTGTACCATAAATATGCATTTAGGAACAGGTGAAATTATCCTGGAATGTAATGAGGCATCCCCCATCATGTTTTACAGTGTGATTGGATACATGCGCTTTTTAGCCATTGCCAGCTTCATTGTGGTTTTCTTTGCCAGGAATTTACCTCACAGTTTCAATGAAACCAAATCTACCACTTTCAGCATGATAGTGTTCTTCAATGTGTGGATGTCATTTCTCCCAACCTACTTAAGCACGAAAGGGAAATACATGGTTGCTGTGGAGATTTTTCCTATTTTATCTTCCAGTGCTAGATTGCTGAGTTTCATATTTTCTCCAAATGGTACATTATTGTTGTGAAGTCTGAACTAAACAACTGGGAACATCTTAACTGGAGAAGCCACTATGACAGTAGAGGAAATGAATTTATGCATGTTGTGCAACCTCTAGTGTCTCCAGTCCTAAGCCTATATGAGGGGAGTCTAGACTTCTCATGTGATTGCTCTATCTTGGGGAGAAGGTAATCCACTGGGCCCCCAAGCCTCAGAATACTGATGGTACATGCCAGGTCTGGTAATGAGACCTCTTTGTATATGACCAGGTGGTGGATGAAGTGGAAAATTTAGTATCTATCCCTGAAATGGCCGGGCAAGATCATTCGGAATTCTCATTGATCTCTTTTATGGCAAATACAAGAGACAGGGTATGCTGGTAGTTCTTTGGCATCACACTGCAAAATTACATTAGGTACTTTTTCTTTTCCAAAAAAGAAACATGTTTTCATGCTTTACCAAAATGTAAACAAAGCATCTTGTGTCAGTAGAATGACTAACAAATTTAGTGCATGAAAGAAAACTTGACTTTAATGCATGAAAGAAAACATCATATTCTGAAAAAAGTAAAGCCTAACTGGGCTGTGCATATTCTCCATTAGTGAGGACTAAGAGATGACATGTTCCTCAGTATTTCCTCATGTATTACATTTCTTACAATCTCACATAAGCCTTTCATATACTGGATTTCAAGCTGTGAAGCAGGGAACCTGTTCTACATATCCTGGTTTAGTTCCCATTCAAGTTAGAATCACCCTCTCATAGGATTTAAATTCTGCTAAGTGGCTAGATACATAGGGCAGATTTCTCATTTGAAAAATCCTGCTCAGTGGATTGAGAATGGTATGAAATGAAATGGAGGAGGCCAGAGAAGCAAGTTTATCCCTGATTCCTTTCCTGAAACGGTGGGATACACATAAAGTTGTAAGAGAAGCAATTAAATCTAGAACAAACACTATGTTCTCTCTTCACCCCCTCCCTGCCTTTCCAGCATTAGAATTTCCATCTGTTCCTTGATGCTGTAATGAAATATATAGGAGAATATTACATAGATGTATCAAAAGATAATCATTTTCTGCTTTTCGTAATCACCTTCTGCTCAAAAGAAGAGAACAGAGTTTGGCCAAAGACAGTCCATGAGTTCTCTGCTGAGCTGAGTACTAGAAAGCGGCTTTTTTCTAAATCACACCCAAAATACAGCTGTCCAGGGACTGAGATATTAGTTCTACCTGGAAAACCCAAGAGTGGAACTGGGAATGTTGCAACTGCAAAGTGCGACCAATCACTGAACGCTATCAATTAAGAAATGGAATACCTCAGGTAATCAGTGACTCATTAATAGAATCTAATCACATGAATGTGTTCTGATATTACAAAAATTAAAATCAGGAATGCATAAGTCTGGTGAATCAGGCAACATACAAATAATTGCAATAAATAAGTAAATAAATGGTTATGATTGTGGTGGTGATAGTAAAACTGTCATAAGGATATATTTTTGAGTGACGTAAGCACATCCACTTACTAATTACAGAAAAATTAAGGAAAGGAAGAAGGAATGGGAGTAATCAGCTGTAGTGGGCAAAGTTTCAGATGAGAGAGCGTAATAAAGCATTGGTGAAATACTGACATTTAAATAGACAAATTTAAAGTACAGTTTCAGAAAATGAATGAATGAATGAATGAATGAATGAATGAATGAATGAATGAATGAATGAATGA